GATCGTCCAAAATTTGAAGCATAAAAAATATTATTTAAAACGCGCATTGGACAAAACGCTCGAACACGGATCAACTTATTTTCGATGTAGATTCACCAGTTAAAAGGAAATTAAAATCGGTGGGTAGTCAACCGCGACCTCTCCTTGTGAGTATCATACTGAGTATCAGGCTGCTTTTCAAACTCTGATGAAGTGAGCTGTAATGTTCACGAAACGTCGGTATAAAAATGACACTAACGCGGTTCAAACCCGAAAAACCATCTTTGTATGTTAATACTACACACCGCGAAAGCATCAAATATCAAGTTGTAATTGTGTTGTCATTAATACAAGGACAAGCAAAACTGTCATGGTTGTGTAATCATTTGTGCAAAACTGACGATCCATTTCTGATTAGTTATTATGAGAAACTTCTTCAAACAATAAATATATGTACTTTAAAGAACGTACCAAAATTCATGTAAACTATTTTTAATTGTACTGTTAAAACGTCAGATAAAAAGTTAGGTCATGCGCACAGTTGCTATATTACTTTAAGTCTTTGTAAAGCAATGTGTATTCCACTTCAATTATTATCACTTCATTTTCCAAAAGTAAGAAATATGAGACGTTTGATTTATCAACTTAAGAATGTTTATCAGAAGCTTGTAAATCTAGACAAAGCTTTAACTTGAGTTAATTTAGACACATTGAACGACATTGTTATTTCGGTACAAGAAAAAGCAGATATATACAAACAGCAGCAACCTAATACTGTTTGGAGTGACGACGATATCATTGCAAAATATCAAAATGCATTTGCAAGCCTTGATTAAACGCTGTATGGATATACCACGATACGTTTGTATATCATGCGAAAGACTTTGTTACAAAAAAAATATTTTTGAAGTAAATACTGTTCAAAACCAAATAGACATTCTACCTTGGAGAAATTTGATGGTTTATGTAAAAAAAAAGAAAATTGATGCACAATATGTATGTGATTATTGTGTTCGAAAATTTTGCAATGGTGTCATGCCTAAGTATTATATTTTAAATAATCTTTTTGTAGACACCGTGCCTGAAGAAATATCGTCTCTTAATTTATTTGAAACCATTCTTGTGAACAGAGCAAAAGCATTTCAGATTGTTGTTAAAATGGGAGCTGTTATGAATAAACAGTTGCCACAACGGCAAATGATACAAAAAGTCACAGGTAGAACGTTTCATTTACCACTCCCTTTACAAGAAACTTTAAACAAAATATGTTCTACTACTGATCCAATTAACACAAATCATGAGTTGTATATTTTGGTGAGAAGTATACCCGCAAAAAACTCAAAGAAAGTATGNAAACGCTCGAACACGGATCAACTTATTTTCGATGTAGATTCACCAGTTAAAAGGAAATTAAAATCGGTGGGTAGTCAACCGCGACCTCTCCTTGTTAGTATTATCTGTTAAAAAATGGGGAAGTAAAATGCGAAAGTAGCTCACATCCTCTGTGAGCTACTTTCGCATTTTTATCTGAAAATTATAATAATTTTATTGCTAATTGTGTTTATGGTACCAAACACTTAAGTCAAGAAATGATTAATAATTTAAGAAGAGCTCAAGCTGTACAAAATTTGAGTATACAATATAAATATGATAAGAATACTTTCAATACTTGTCAAGTATCGGAGAAGTATTAACTTCTTAATGTAGTAGAAAAAGTGTAAAGTAAAAGCGATGCAGAAACTAGATTAATTGAATCATTATCTTTGTGTTTTGAAAATATGTATAACATTTTATAGTCGAGCTAAATTAAATAACAAAATATATACTTCAGAAATTTACAAAGTAACAAAAACTAATAGTTATACGGTTCAAATAAATATTAGCGATACTACAGTATATGGTATTATCCGATACTTCTTGAAGTTCGAAAATAATGTATCTTTTGTTCTGCAATGCTTTAATGTTGAGCATACAAAATGTTTATTTACCAAAAAACAAATACTGTAGTGAAGCATATAATACCTATTAAAGAAAAAGATAAATTTATTTTAGTAAAAGCAGAGAACATTACATTTATAACTCATTTTATAAGAATTGGCGATTATGTCTGTAAACGTCCATATAAATTCAAGAAAATTATGTAAGTAATGTAAAAACTATAGCAAGTGTATAATAAAAAAATTCTGCGTTGTTGTATATATTAAGAAATAATGGAAACAAAATCAAATAAAATGAGATTTTTCCTATACATTTTATATTTATTTTTAAATCCTATTAATTTTTATTAATTATAAAAACTTAAAAAAACTACAAGTATTCCATATTATATGTATATATATACTTTAATCTATGTAGATTTATTTCAATTTGAGTGAATGAATTACTAAGAATACAATTACACAGATTTGCGTAACTTTATGTAAGTATAATTAATCGTTATGAATCTCTGTAGATCTACGCGGATTTACATAGATCTAAGTAGATATACAGTGAAACGCACAAAATTTTCTTATAATAGATTTACGCAGATCTAAATAATTCTGCACAGATCTAAGTAGATCAGCGCAGATTTACTAAAGAGGATCTACGTAAATCTAAATAGATTTATTTTGATTTAAGCAAATTGAAGCAGATTGAAGCAGATCTAATATGGTAGATCTAAGTAGGTCTAACGATAAATAAAGTGCAAATTTTGCATAGATCTATTTACATCTACTTAGATTTATTTGGATCTAATGACCTTCTTTTTTTCCATTTTTTTTATCTAAGGAGATCTTTTAGATGTAAATTACATCTACTTAGATTTAATCCATTTTTTCTCGGGCAGTTATTGCTGGTGCACATTCTTAAACACTTTTTTTTTTAAGTAAAAAACATTTTTTCATGTGAGATAATTAGAAAACAGTCGGAGAGTATGTAATTTTCTAACATTTAAAAAACACACTCCAAACAGTAATAAGATATCCTTTCTTACACAAAACAACACTAACAGAAAAAAATATACAAGAGCAAGATACATTTTGAAGATAATAACGACAATTTTAACGACAATTTTAATGACAATTTTAACGACAAGATATTTGAAAGATAATAATTTAAAGGAATTATTGTTTTCTTATTTGATTATGTAACCAAGTTTTATCTGAGCACTTGTACGAGCTTTTAATACAGGATATTTTGTTTTTATTTCGTTAATTTCACGAAAAGATGGCAATTTTTTAGTTTGTATGGCTGTGTGAAATAAAGATAAAACGGTTCTGCGTTCATTATCTGTCCATCTGACTTTATGAGTACTTTTCCGTGTAGGAGCAAATGGAGATACTCAAATAAGAATAAAATTAATGTAGTACTTTTATTGTAAAATGTTATTATTTTTAATAAAAAGCAACAGTAATTCTACAGTTATTTAAACTTACTTTTCTTTTTTTTCTTCTTTGTATCACTATTCATGTCATTCTTTTCATCAGACATCCATTCAGATTGCTTTATCTTTTTTGATAATAAAACATTAGAAATATTTAAATCTAATTCAGTATTACATTCATCCTCTGATTGAACAGTTTTACTATTATAATTAATTTTTCCCTTCAAAGCTAAATGTTTTCCTAAAACAATGACAATTCACAATATGTTTATATAGAATATATTCCGACATGAATGCCGTTTGAGATAATTATTAAATAACATGAAAAACATTGTTTGAATTATAATTAAAAACATGTAAAGTAACCGTGGAAACTTGAAGGAAGTATTCTTTTGCATGAAAACAAGAATATAAGTTTTCGTTCTTTATAAGTAAATTTCCTAATATTATATCTATCATCAATAATATCTTTTTCAAATAATACCTATTTTGTCAAACAATATTTATCTAAAGTGTATATCGCTGTATATATTTATTATTGTAAGGACTAATAGTAAATAGTAATATGTGTACTATGTACTATAGAAATTATTCAAATATGATGAAATATCAATTATTCAAACGTAATGAAGTATCAGAAATACCTAAATTTAAATCTGTATTACTATCATTAACTGGATTATATTTATTTTTATCTTCATCCTCATCAAATTTGTCGCTTTCTTCTGTATCGCTTGTATCTTCTCCTTGTGCGTATTTGAGTAAACGTGATATAGCTAAATCTTTTGTTATGACCGACTGTCTATAATGCGATTTATCTTTTCATGATGGCCCATGAAATCCGCTAGATCATTTACTCATGTTCAGGCATATCTAATGAAATGCATATTGTAGCAATATGTTTCCGTAACATTGTACCTCGTAACAAAGTTGGTATTTTTGCACCAGAAAGTATAGAATATTTTCGCATTAACACACATGCTCTCAAATGGGCGTGTTCCGTTTGACCACAGTACGATTTGACACCGATCGATTCGACACCAAATTATTGGACACAGATTTATTCGACACCAAATTATTCGACACCGTACGATTCGACACCAGATT